CTTATTTGCATGTTTTTAAACTAGTCTCTTGATAATGGAGTCACGATGACCCCGAAACGTCGAGTAATAAATCTTTCCTGGTTTTTTCTATAATATTTACTACAGCAAACAATAGTCCGAGGCTTTATTATCGACCTTTCAGATGTCTTAGGATTCCGACATTTGGCAAGGAAGAAACAAAAAGTACATAAAATGCAAATACGATATTTGTAGAGTGTGGGCGACCGTGAAATAAACTGCTTCTGATTGGTTACTTCACTGGCCGACTTTTTTTTGTAGGGAGAATTTGCATTTGATGCATTTTCGAGAGTTTGAAAGATAATTTCACAGTGGGAAAAAACAACATATTAGAAATTTTTAGGGAAAGTTGTAGTGAAATGGCATCATCAACTGGGAGCTGCATACATGATATCACATGTACGCTCAATAATGTGAAGGAACATATCAGAGCAAATCACATGTACCCAGGAGAGCAGGGGAAAAGCTGTTTCCTTTCGACTTGCGAAACTACTGTTTGGAAAATGGTTGAAGAAACCTTTCTTAACCCAGATGTTACGACGCCTCATAGATTTGATGAGAACAAGATTGTTTTGCGAAAGAAATTTCCACGGCCAGTTGGCGTACATGGGAGGAATGGAGCACTATGTTTTTTTGTGACCGTGATCTACGACCAGTCAGACCGAAGAATTGTTACTGCATTTCCGACAAAATGAATTTTCAAAACTTTGTTTTAAATTTGTACAGATCTCTTCATTTCTGGCGCGTAAAAAGTGAAATGGGAGCAAAGACTTCGCGCCTCAAGACACGAAGAAGGAGCGGACAGGCCTCTGAATCACTGGCACTTCGCGGATTGATCATTTCATAACTTTGTTTTGATTGTACTTAGTGGTAACTTACTGATGTTGAATTTTCAGGTTGAGAAACGATGTGGAGCATGTTTATCTTTATGACAGTATTTGAAAAAAAGATTTTTTTTGAAAGTGCTTTGAAAAATGTATTTTCGGAGTAATAGTAAAACAACTTGAAACCATCATTATGGAAATTTTTACTACAATATTTGCCATGTAGGATATAGCTTTGCAGAACATCAGAACATCAGACTCTCTATCTGAACATTACATTGCTTAGTATTACTTGAAATATTTCGATGATGTGGCGAATCGTCGAGCTTGCCTTCGGACTCTGATGTTCGCGAGCCGGTTAACCCTTGTAACAACAGTTTGACCATACTTTTCTCGCAAATAAAATATATTAAAGTTCACACGGCAACCAGGTGGGTAATCACTAATTAGCTGTCTCTTTTCTGACAAGGTGTAAATAGGCATCAGGAAGTCTTTACAACGGTGATTGAAATACAAATGACAGCGATACTTATCAATGCGAACTCTGATGTTCGCGAGCCGTTTGACCCTTCCTACAATTCATAGACCCAATGTTTCGACACTCTTGTCTAGTGCCTTCATTAAGAGTTATCTAAGCGCTGCAACAAGAGGTCCTTTTATATGATCACTAATTAGCTGTCTTTTTTTCTGACAAATTGTAAATAGGCGTCAAGAAGTCTTTACAGCGTTTAGATGACCCTTGATGAAGGCACTAGCTAGACAGGAGTGTATCAAACCATGTCTGATTATACCACTCATTTAAATGCCATTGTAAAAGAATAACGTTGATTGTGTAACACCTCTATCTTTAAAACCTCCCGACACATATAAATGAGGTGGACCAAAGTTGGCGTTATTAGCTGTTTCGCTAATGTTGCTCAGCACGCGATGAAGTGCTTTCTTTTGTTTTAGGAGGTTCGCTTGCGGCTACAACTTCCCGAAGCTTCGTCGCTCATAATGTTTGTTTTCCTATCTGTCTGAGCTATGTGTCTGAGGTATTTAAAAATAAACTTCTACTGATTGATTACTTACTTATCTCTGACCTTTAACTTTCTTTCGATTTCATTAAAACCCGTTTTCGGCGAGTTTGTAAGGGTATGTGAGATGTTGATAATATAATTTCCAAAATTTTCGGAGGAAGGGTATGAGCATATATCGTCCGGGAGTTTGAAGCACAAAGTTTAACTGCGGAAACATGTGATCAGACGGGAAAAAATATATTGAGAGTTTTAGGGAACGTTGTAGCGAAATGACATCATCAACTAAGAGTTGGATGCATGATATCACATGTACGCTCAACGATAATGTGAAGGAACATATCAGAGCAAACCACATGTACACAAGAGAGCAGGGGAAAAGCTGTTTACTGTTTGGAAAATGGTTGAAGAAACCTTTCTTAACCCAGATGTTGAAACGCCTCATAGATCTGATGAGAACAGGATTGTTTTGCGAAAGAAATTTTCATCGCCAGTTGGTGTACATGGAAGGAATGGAACTCTATGGTTTTTTTTGACCGTGATCTACGACAATTTGAACCGAGGAATTGTAACTGCATTTCCAACAACATGAATTTTCATAGCCTTGTTTTAAATTTGCGCAGATTTCTTTTTTCAGGAAAAATTCAAAGATTTGAGTCAATCAACAATTATATATTGCTTCATTTCTGCCAGGTAAAAAGTGAAATGAGATCAAACTTGACTTCGCGCCTTAGTCAGAGGTTTATGGTTGCTCCGGCGACACGAAGAGGAAGCGGAAAGGCCTCTGAATCACTTTTTAGCTCGAACAATTAACAACTTTGTTTAGAAGATCAGTAATAACTTTCTGTTGTTGAATATTCAAAACGATGTGGAGCATGTTTCCCCTTATGAAAGCATTCTAAAAAAATTATGTAAATTAATCCAGATTTTCTTGAGCAACCTGAATTTTTCATTCAGTCTTTTCTAGAATCGTTTAACAGTGGAAAACACTTCCTGAAAAGAAAGCGTATGGACAGAATTGAAGCATTTTTCGAAGTAAACTTAAAAAGTTTTGTTAAAGATTTGGCCAATTCGAAATAGTTCGTAAATTTGTTTCCGTTGTTTGAAGATCCTAGGCAATTGCCTCCTTGCTGTTTCTAAATCTAGCTTGTCACGGAATATTAATTTGACTAAATGTGTGGAATGTTGGAAATACGCTAAAGTTTGCGGCGGAACGTATTACTCGAGTGTGATGTTTCGTCCGGGAGTTTGAAGCACAGAATTTAACAGTGGAAACTTGTGATCAGGGGGAAATAAAAACATATCGAGAGTTTCGGGGGAGGAAGCTGAATAAACGGGTTTAAGTTAAAAGGAAATAATGAATAGTGGGGTTTGGAAACCTCCGAATAATGAATACGTAGTCATGCCAGTGGAAAAATAAATACCGCTTTCTTTTCTGATTGTCTTGGTTATGAATTTTCTGATCCATCTTCAGAAGTTTTTTTTCTTTTAAGTGAAATCAACAATGCGCAAAGTAAAACTACAAGAGACGCGAAAAGTCTCCCGTCGAAACTTCCAGCCAGAGGTGTTTCGAGTTGTAAGACTTCACAGCCTGACAGCTTGACAGGTTTTCTGTCAGATGTCCTGTCGTGGCATTATAACTTTACATAACATAACGTATTTATTCAGATGAAAAAACAAAGTAATAAAATATTTTGAAAAGGAAAACTGGAGGTTGACCCTATGATCTTGACCTAAATAAAAGGTAAAGTAAACTATTTACACAAGTACAGGAGATAAAATTAATAAAATTGATAAAAAAGACAAGCGGCTAATGTCGGAGACTTTGTGATTCGTGCGTGACACATGTCAGATGATGAGTGTGAACATTATGTCAAGAGCTAGAAGCACTGCCTTTCGTGATTTTGGGACATTGATCGGTTTGCATCATCGACGCAGCCTTGAATGACCTTTTAAATCAGTACTTAGCAACAACCATTCACAATATAGAGAATATCGAATAAGAGAGTGATTTATTACAAATTTTGCCGAGTAGCCTTTTACACACCCGTTGTGAATAAATGAATACGAGAGAGGAATAAAAAAGTTTCATTGAGTCTAGTTCGTTAGAATTCTATCCCTAGTAAACGGGGTAAAGTTTACGAAACGTTTCAAAAACTATTTACAAGAGACAAAATTGATAAAATTGATAAAAAAGACAAGCAGCTAATGGACATTTAAAAAGCGCTTCAGCGCACTCTTTAAGCGACTCAGTCTCCTAGCCTCAACGATGAATCCTGGTGGGATATTTCACTCCTATACGATTCGGATAAAAAAGGAATATTTATAGGGATTACCCTTTGCTAACTTAACGTGGAGCTTACTTCAGCTTCCTGAAACGTTCTTCGTATTCCATCTCACCACGTTTTTGCCCGAGAGCAAGCCGAGAGGCTCTTCGCTGAACTCTTTCTAACGCGAACACATCTTTAACTAAATATGGATTCCAGACCGGAGCAGCATATTCTAGAACCGGACGCACGAGAGATTTGTATAACGCAGAGAACGCACCGGGATTCGACGAGCCCACTGCTCTGTAAACCAAGCCCAAAACTTTTTAGCCTTATTAACGGTCACATTGACGTGCCTGCTCCATGACAAATCCGAAGAAATAGTAATGCCCAAATCCTTGACGCACTTAACGCTTTAATGCTCGTACCTAATGAGTATATGGGGATGGAGAGGTCACCTTTATGTGTAACACGTAGAGCTTCGCACTAATCGGGATTGAAGCGTAGTCGTCATTTAGATGCCCAGGATAGTAGGTGGTCGACATCAAGTTGTAGGGCTTCACTGTCTCTTGTTATGTTTGACAGTTCGCTGTATACTTTGGTGTCGTCAGTGAACATCCTAAAAGTCGAAGAGATGTTAGATGATATGTCATTAACTTAAATTAGAAATAAAATTGGGCCCAAAATCGTACCTTGGGGAACCTCCGACGTTACACAGAACCTGGATGAGTTGGTGCCTCGAACAACAACAACACGTTGTTTGCGGTCAGTCAAAAAGCTCCTAAACCAACGTAGTAGTGAGCCATCGATCCCGTGACATTTTAGTTTGAGCAACAACCATTCGTGAGGTACAGAGTCAAACGCTTTTGAGAAGTCTAAAATATAACATCAGTGGGTCTTGATTTATTTCTTGATGATGCCCAATCATCAAAGCAACGCTGAGTTAGAGTTGATTTTCCTTCAAGGAAGCCAAATTGGTTTGAGTTGAAGACGTTTAGGGATTGCGAGAAGTTAACTACACGATCTTTTACAATCGTCTCGCTAACTTTACATGCAATGAAGGTGAGTGAGACTTGACGATAACTTTCTCTGCAGTCTTTTCTGCCCTTCTTATGGACGAGGACAATGTTAGCTATCTTCCAAGCGTACGGTACTTCGCCAGCGAAAAAAGACCTGTTCAGAAGTGAACGAAAGGTCAGAGCGATTTCAATCGGCGGGAGGTGGTCAGGCCCCGGGGACTTGTGTGGATTAAGATTTCTCAGGAGGCGAGAAACCTTGTTTGTAGTGCAAAGGATAGTTGATAACTTGGAATCCACGAGATTACTATACTCAGGGAAATTTCCATAATCTTCTGAATTCATGCTTTCCGCAATCTCCAGGTCATCCGTTCGGGTCACATCATCCACTTTCGGTGCTGTAAGTTCGTTTGATCCTTTGCGCACAGATGAAACAAAACTCCAAAACGGTTTTGGATTTCCAGAAGACTTTAGGTCTTCAGATATCTTGTTAATATGTTCTCTCCGAGCAGAGTTACAGGCTTTCTTTAGGAAGTTGTTCATAACTGGATACACTTTCCAGTCGTTTTGAAGACCAGATTTTTTGGCTTTCTTGTAAAGCTTCTTCTTCTTCTTACATAGTTTTAATCAATTCACATGTAATCCAAGGAGCGTTCTTCCGTGCTTTCATTTGGTCGTTTCGGGATACACTCGTCAATTGCAGTGTTGTGGCTAGCGAGACATGTGAGAAAACAAAACTAAAGAGAAACCACTCGATGTGAACTGGTCTAACACTGATCGACATGATCCTGGTTATACAGTACATGCATGGTCGAAATTTCACTCGTCATTATGGCGATATACAATATATTCCAACTTAAGTTCCGACAAAAACAAGTTGTGGTTACAACAATATGGTACAGCAAACAATTCAATCTTTCTCAAAATGACCACGGCAGCAAATAAAACAACATACAGGTATTTCTGATATCATTTAGACAGCATAACCGTGTTCGCCGCTGTTGAACTACAAATAGTTATAAAAAATGTAGTTACAAAAAATAATATGGACAAGAAACATTAATTCGATCGTTCACAAAAAGACAGCGACAGCAATAAAAACGACATAACTTAGGTAAAATTATTTGACACGTACTATGTAACACTATCAACTAGGAGAGATTATGTTGCCCTGTTTTATTATTTAGGTATCAATTATTTTGTTATTCAGTTGTCACTTTTAATTGTTTGTTTATTCATCTTTTCATTTGTAAATTGTTTGACTATTTTCACTGTTTTATTTCGCAAGTTGCCAGATTCTTAGTGTATACCGTCAGTGGCTCTCTTGCGTTATCACCATTTTCAATCAAAGGAATCAGCCACCATATTGAAACTGAATTCGATCTATTTCGGCATTCAGAAACAATTAAACTGGGGACGTCTTTCTTTAAGTTTATTTGTAAAAGCATCGCAAAAATTCGAGCAATTTAGCTTTTAGTGCTAAATAAAAGCCATTTTGACAGTTTCACCAAAACTTAACGTTTAGCTGATATTTTCTACTTGACGAGATTGTTTAGAACTTCGTTTGAATGAATAAGGATTTAAACTTTGTTTTTATAGCCAGTCCAAAAAGTTAAAGTGTTAATGGAGTTCCAACTTATGTTCCCAAGTATTAGTTGGACGTCATTAGAGGAAAATGAATAAAGGGGGTAAGTTTCTAGAGAAACTGCGGTACGTCGTCGGCAGGGGTACTACGAGATAATTTGGTTTAATCAACTGAGTTGATAATGTAAATTGACCACTGTAAAGAGTTTCTAATGCACCTATTAATTCGAAGCTTCAACATCCCCTCTCCGGAAGACCCACGGGTATTTGACTGTCGTCCTTGCCCGGTGGGTGGGGAATTTGAATCTTGCCTGGTTGGGGTGGGAAATTTGAATCGGAACTTTCAAGTATTTCCAGTGAAAATACAAGTGGAGGGGGACAGGGGGACGGGAGCCCGGGAGAACAGGGGGCGGGAGAGGGCCGGAAGCGTGATCTATATGAGGGCAGGAAGCGGGAGCAGAAGTAAAGAAGGCGATACAAAGTTTCTTGTTTATTACTGGGTATTATTCAGTCAAAAACACTTACCTGGCAAAGTTTTGAAATTTCCATTTAACATCCACCAATGTTTAAAAGAAAATTTTGGAAGCAAGAAAACGTAAATTAGTATTTGGGCTGGAAAAACAGCATTACTTCCGGTGAATTTGGAAATCCCTTCAATTCGATTACGTCATAGAACAAATATACAGAAAACTTGACGTACTACGAAGTCATATAGGCTTGTCTGCCCCAATTTACATTCGATTATTAAATGGGCGCTTTAAACTCTCTGAAGAAACATTCGACAAGATGTTTTCACACTGCCGAGGCGAATGTGATTTGAAAACAAATGAAATTGAAGAAAATCAATTTAAGAAGTTATCTTGACTCGGCGGAAGAAGAAACTCTAACCAAAATTTGGGGTTTGAAGAGTTCAGTGTGGTCTTCCCGGCGCAGGAGGTTATAAGACTTCTTCTAACCTTAAAACGTTCCGCAGAGGTTTAAAGAAGATTTCAACCTATCGAACAAGAATGTTCAATCAAGCTTCACTTGCACTTAAGCTGAACGCTCAAAATGGAAAGGGCTCAACAATTGATATGCAGAGATTTAAATCATCCTTTGGAGTGAGCTTTTTTATTCGCTCACGATTAGCTATGACAAGTTACTTACGTCAAAAAGGGAAAGCAAGCACGGATACAGGAGAAGCAAACTCTAAACGTCACATACTTTATTTATTTATTTATTGTTATTTTTTATTTATTTACTAATTTAATTCTCCCCAAGGGACTTTCAACGTTACGTCTGTCTCTTGATTTTTTTATTTGATTTTGAAATGGCATTCCTAAATGCACTGCCAACCACTGCCAACACACCAGTCACAGTCGGTGGAGAGCCCATCAGGGAAGTGGATTCCTTCATCTACCTTGGGAGTGCAGTTGACCGACAGGGGGGCACGGACAGAGATGTCACAGCCAGGATTGGCAAGGCCAGAGCAGCTTTTGTCATGCTCAAGAACATCTGGTCGTCCAAGGAGATCAGGACAAGAACCAAACTTCGCATCTTCAACTCCAATGTGAAGTCAGTCTTGCTCTACGGATGCGAAACTTAGAGGACGACAAAGGCAATGCTACAGAAAATCCAGACATTCTTCAACACCTGTCTGCGGTGCATCTACAACATCCGATGGCCAGAGATGATCCCAAATGAAGAGCTGTGGGAGCGAGCGGGACAGGAACCAGTAGCAAAACAAATTCTGAAGAGGAAGTGGGGCTGGATCGGACACACCCTCAGGAAGCCAGCATCCAGCATCACACGCCAAGCTCTGACCTGGAACTCGCAGGGAAAGAGGAAGAGAGGCCGGCCTCGCAACAGCTGGAGGCGAGACACTGAGGCAGAGCTCAAGCAGCAAGGTACAAACTGGACAGGAGCAGCAAGATTAGCCCAGAACAGAGTGCGATGGCGAGGGGTCGTCGATGGCCTATGCTCCACACGGAGCCACGGGCCTTAGTAGTAGTAGTATTCCTAAATGCATGGAAAATCCCATATTTATGGCTATGTACTTGATATCTTTCTTCACGATGCATCCCCCATGTAACGATCTATCATCTCTGTGGTTCATCCAGCCGGTTTTTTCATCCAGTTCATAGTTATACCACATGATAGCTTTTCCTTTCTTGGCTGATACAACGATATTTGCTATATGACCATATTCATTTAAATTGAAGCCATCGCCATCCTTGCGGTTCCCAAACTCCTAAGAGATAAAAGCACATTTGGAAAGATTTCCTTAATTACGTTGGCCATTTAACGAGTAAATTCCATGTTATCGTGCGCACGAACCGTAAACAAGTATGGCGACGTTATCAATAATGTTCCCATCTACTCATTTCACTTGCATTCTTCCTTTCACCTTTCTTTTTTGTGTGCGTGCGTGCGTGCGTGTGCAAGTAGCTATAGAGTAAGTATTTGTACATCAGTTGATGTTAGTAACGAATCATGACAGGCTGCACTTAATGTTTCATTGAAATTTTTCATATCTGCTACAGGAAAAACTGTTTCACCTTCTTCTTCCACGTCATTTAGATAGTAGAGAATAGTGATGTACCTGTACAGTTAAGAAAACATGTTGTCATTCAAGCATATCAAAATATGTATGTGATAACTTTACAAGGCATGAAGTAACATCGCGTACAGCTTATCCCACATCAGTAACCTGAACATACAGGCATCACGTAGTAGAATTGGACTTGAATGACAGGAAGCAAAATGTCTGGTTCAAAAACTGTGATTACTGTGGTGATCAGCCTCCAGTGACCATATTTTTTATACAATTGCCAGCATGATATGATAACTGCCTTCTAGTGCTCAAATTGAGCTAGAGATAATTTAGAAGGATTTTTCATAGGTTCATTTTTCTGTAAAATGTCACTAAAGATCTTGTGGTACAGATGTTTCTTTTTTTTCAAGTTTTTTCAACTGGTTTAGAAGTTACCTTGTGCCATTTCCTTTGATTTAAATTTTATAAATTAAATACATGTGCATATTCAGGAGGATAATGAACTCAAAAAGCCAACAGCATGACTGCTTTGAAGTTTTTCTCTCATCCAAGACCAAATTTAAAACAAAGTGTTGAAAAAAGTGCTCCAAGAAAAACAGCCCCATACTCATTACCAACAAACTGCTGCAATTTAAAGCTTTAATGTACTTGTCAAAGTTACAAGAAGTGACCAGTCTCTTTTTTAAGACAGCATGCAAAGATGTTCTTTTAATACGTTTAATAAAGTTCTTAACAAGTTCATTGTTGCAAAAGTTTGATGTTTCAGCTGAGGAGGACGTTCCCCCCAAAAAAGTATTTTTCTTCTGAGTAACCTGAAAATAAGTCAGAACATAAATTTTAAGACCTCTCCATCAATTCAAACCTACCTTTCTGTAATACACAAGTCCACAGGATCTCCATGACAGTCCAAATGAGATATTTCACCTCTGCATGTACCATACTCCAAAATTCCTTGGTCTTGATGTGTAACAAGAATAGGTATTTCTTTGCAAACAAATTGGGTTTACCAAATAAAACTTCTCACTAACAAGGAAATAACTTCTTAAAAACCATACATTTCTATTCTTGTCCCATGTTCTCTATTTTTTTTACTTAATTTTGGGTTTTGCAAAACAGTTTGAAAAACATATTTATTGCTTGATGTTTGTCAAACAACAACACCCATGTATCCACCTAAGAAATTCTACATGTATATACATCTGCTACAACCAAGAGTCTGAACAATGATTCCTTGTCAATTTTGGGTGAGGCACCACTGCTTTGCAAGCTTCACCAATTTTTTTCTGTGTCTAATATAATATGATCTTTCAAACTGGAAAATTCAGAAAATGCCTCAACATTTACAAACGGTTAACCTCTTAACAAAGGAAAATGACAATATCTTTATAAGTTCTTAGGTCTACATACCTTATCAATAGTTTCTTCTGGCTTGCTTTCTTCATCATCTCAATGTTGTATAGAACTGTCTACAATAAATGATAAATCTCTTTCCCTGATCAGCAATGCCACAGCTGTAGAGTGTAGCACATATAAATCAATACCATGACTGTAGTATTAACCCTTTACACCCTGATATTAATATTCATATTCTCCACACTTTTCTCTTTACAATAACTATGGCACTGACAAGAAAAAATTGTTTAATATTTGGGAGATTTGTAAATTGGTGATCATTTCCTATAATCTCATGACCTTTACATTTGATCCAAGGGTGATATTGCAAGGAGAAATTAGAAGCCAGTCACCCTCAGGGGTTAAAGGCTTCAATTACCTACATAAACAACAATAATAAGTTACAAAATAGCTGGAGTAGAAGCCTGCTAACTTACACTCAGTTCAGTCAAACTTCCTAGTAACTTGCTCAAGATCTGATTTCTCTTAACCCCTTTTTTTCAGTCATTTACTACCAGCTAACTTGAACCCCTGTTAAATTACACATTTAGTTTCCCTTGGGAGTTCGAAAATGAGAGGTTCTTCTATACATACAGTATATGTACATAATTTGTAACAGTAGCTTAAAATAACCAAAAATTAGCATTTTCAGCAGTAAAAGTTTCAACCCAAAATATGAAAAAGATGAAAAAATTGAGCTAGTTGTTTAAAGGGCAGATTGGCACAAAATTTCAAGCACAAAAAAAATTAACACAATTTCACTGTAGCCGCATTATACAATTTAAAATGAATTTTAGATTAAATCAAACTGAATCTAGTTTATTTTTCTTCTGTTCCACTGACTCATGCATTTACCTCATCAATTAGCCCTACAAATCAAAACTAACCATATTTTAACATTAACTTTAAACTTACAAAATACATCAAGATGTTGCAGCTTAAAATTTACTTCCAATCAAACTATATATATTGTATATATTTTACACATACTAACCAATTTCTAACCCTGTTTTAATTTTAACAACATTTTTGAAAAACATGATCAAATTTAGATGATAAATGGACATTCAAAAGTGCATAATTACAGCACTATAATAGTTATATGAATTTTCTGTATGATCATGAATGGATTCTTGAATGAAGTAAAATGCTTGATTTTAGGCTAACTGTTGGAACTGATACATCAAATGGGATGCAAGTCTTTCAGTCACTCATTTGCACTGATGAAACACTGGTAACAAGCATATGCACCAGCAACCCAGTACTTAAAAGTGATTCTACTTATCCTGTTGAGAATTACATTGTCTCTTCATTTATTTTGTCAACACTCTTTGGAGAATGAAAAAATTGTGTCTAATGTTTCTTTAAAACCTTAAAAAAAATTCTAAGGGATTAAGACAAGATACTTAACCTTTTAACTCCCACAATGACCAACACAGACTTTCTCCTTACAATATTATTCAATATCAAGCAGAAAAGTCATGAGAATAAAGAACAATGCCAATTAAAGGATTACTAATTTATCCAATATCAATTTCTCCAAATTAGCACTCCAAGAATTGTATGACAGATAGTAGAGAGAATTACCAGTACTAATGAAAGCTTACTCTCCCTGCCCCCTTTCCAAAATTAAACTGTCATCATTGGGTAAACCAGAAATTAATTGTAACACTTACCTGCTTCTTTGACTCTCTTCTCTTCATTATTTTTGTCTTGAAGGCTTGATGAGTTATTATTCTAACAAAAAAAACAAGAAAACAGGCTGTAGTCGTTTAACCAAAAAACTTATCACACACACACACACACACACGCACACACACACAGTGTACAATGAGCATCATCTATTTGCGGGAGTATATCATAAACATTGTGAATACTTTTCATCATTATTTCAATTCAATCACTGCACATGTTGAGGCTAGCGAGACACGCGAGAAAACAAAATTCAAAATTAAAAAGAAACCACTCGTTGTGAACTGGTCTAACACTGATCGACATGACCCCAATTATAAGACAGTACTCATGGTCGAAACTTCACTCGCCATTATGGCGATATACAATATGTTCCAACTTAAGTTACGATAAAAACAAGTTGTGGTTACAACCATATAGTACAGCAAACAATTCAATCTTTCACAAAATGACCACGGCAGCAAATAAAACAACAAACAGGTATTTCAGATATTATTTAACCACCATAACTTTGGACTCGAGAGCACAGCGCGTGTTCGCTGTTGAACCACAAATGTTTATTTAAAAGTGTAGTCACAAAAAATAATTAAACAACAATAAGGAGCTCGTCATTCTTCGCTTGCGACATGTCAGCCGGAAAGAATGTTGAACAATCGTGTACGGTGTGAATACAAGCCCTTAATCAGCATTCTTTTTAGCTGAATTCATTAGTTATCTTCCCCTGATTTGACTAGTGGTACGTGCTCGTAATAGGTGTCTTCGAAGCCGGTACGGAGCATCGGGTCGGCAACATTGAAGAGTAAAATCTCCTCGACATCGACGATCGAAACGCGTCTATTTTGGCCATACAGCTACATCCTTTGGAAAGTAGTGTATAAAAATGCCCGATTTATGTGCATTATTCTTGTAGCTGACAGCATTTGGCGCTCCGGCCACGCATCACGTTCGTCCTTGTCTACAATTCTGTTTTCTCTACCATAATTTCCGACGTGTCATAACTGTTTTCTACTTCATAGCTATAAACATAATTGCTTTAGCTGCAAAATCCAACCTTAGAGGTATCTGGGCAACTGCCCACCTACCCCTCCCCTAATCTAACAACAGTCAATTGATGACAACTA